GGACTCATATAGCTTTCCTTACCAAAATTTAAGAAAAATATAACATGATTTCTACACCATGATTTCTAGAATACAGAACTGAATATGAATAGCACAAGTCTGACAACAAAACTAGAAAAAGACAACACATACAAAGAAATAGTTTCAAACAAATGGTATCTTTCTTTGAGTCATTTCTAACTCAGGGTGGATGGAACTAACTGCCCTTGAAGGTTTCTGAGACTGCAAATCTTTACAGGAGCAGAAAACTTCATCCTTCTCCAGTGGATTGGCTAATGGTTTCAAACTGCTTGCCTTGCCAGCAGCCCAATAGGTTAGCTGCCATGACACCAGCGCAAAAATTAATAGTAAATAGCACCCACAAAGATATGAGGGTGAGTTTAAAAAGTACTGCTACTAAGATTCCAATTCATACATGCATGGGATTATGCCAAGCAAAATTTGTTTAAACGTGTTTCTGGAATCAGTGATTAGTTGCAGACAAGTTCTTTAAGTAGTTCTTTAAGCCTAAATAGTCTTAGGCTCCGTAGGACGCTGTCAGAAAAGGTCCAATCAAAACAGTGGCTTCTGCGGGAATATGCTGGGCCAATCAAATTCAAGGAAGAAAGGTCAGCTCAGAAGCTTATGGTGGTTGCTTTTTAGGATCCTAAAGGAGTAACCTTGATACATTTTTTTCAGAAGACAGGACATTAATGGGGACTTATTAAAAATATGTATTAAGAATATTGAAAATGACATTATAAAGAAAATATCCAGGAAAAATGAGGCAAAAAATTTTGTTTCAAAAAAAATTTTGTTTCTTCATGATCACAATGCAGCTCCTCTTTCTTTGATGGTAGAAAAGTCTGTCCTAGGAGAATTTCATTGGTAAACCTTACGCTACCAACCCTATACAGTGCTGTCTTTTCAGACTTCGTTTTGTGCCCAAATCTCAAAGAACAGTGAAAAATGAATGCAATTTTTTAGTTCCTTATGATATAAACTGAAGAGCAAAGAATTCTTTGGAGAAGGAACAAAGGGAGAGAAATACTGCTTTCCAAAGTGTAATTTCAGTTTTAACAAAGGTTTCTTTGATTTTATAGCAATACTTTTTAACTTAGCCTCATCCAGAGACAAATATACACTATGACAAAGCAGGGTTTACTATGGGAATCCAACACTGGCTCAATGTTTTATATTCAATTCATATTAACATTAAAACAATATAATCAAATTAATTGATACAGAATAAGCATTCACTTATAAATGATAAAAACACTCACCAAACTAGGAATATAATTGCCTCAACTTGTTAATGAGCATGTCTTAAAAACATACTATTAACATCATGCGTTATGATAAAAGATGAGGTATTTTCTTCTTAACATCAAGAATATAACACAGATGCCTGCTCTCAGCACTTCTTTTCCACACAATATACAATAATGCAAGAGGTTAAAAAAATATCAAGATTGTGGAGGAAAAAACTAATCAAGTAAATTGTTTAATTTGTATACAACATAATCATTTACCTGGAAAATACAACAGAATCTAAACAAATAAAAAGTTATTACTAATAAGTGAAATTAGAAAGTTTACAGGATACAAGATTAGTAAAAATCCATTTTATTTTATATACTAGCAACATTATGATTTAATATAACCATAATTAAATAAAAATATATCTTAAAATTTATTAACAGGGCAAAGCTATGAAATACTTAGAAATTAATCTGACAAAAGATGTCAGAGATCTATGCTCACATAACAAAATATAAAATTGAAACAAATGTCAATGTGTTTCTATGTACTAACAATGAAGAACCTGTTTCTTGATCCCCTCAACATTTAAATTAGCTCAAAAAAAGAGAAATGCTTAATTATAAATCTAACAAAACAGGTGCACGTTCTATATGCTGAAAACCTCAAAATATTGATGAAATAAATCAAAGGCCTAACTAAAAGGAAAGGCACACCATTTTCCTGGACTGGGCAAGTCAATATAATAAAAATTTCAATTCTCTCAAAGTTGATCAACTTAGTTAATAACAAATTTGAGCAAAAAGAACTTAATTCCAATCAAAATTCTAACAGGATTTTTTTCTAACTGTAAACAAGTATATATGTTTGGAATGCCAAGTGAATCTGAATAGCTAAAACAATTTTGAAAAAGAATAAAATTAGAGGAATCACACAACTTGATTTTATGACTAATTATAAATATATAATAACTAAAACATAGTACTATTGGTTAAGGTTGAGACACATACATGAACTAAGCAGAACAGAAGCATCCATATAAAAACAAGAAAAGTTTATTAATTCTTGACAAATGGAAAAAAGCATTTTATAGAAAAAGAACAGTGTTTTCAACAATTTATGTTTCAATAATAATATTTCTAAACCAAAAAGAAAACACTAAACAAACTTCAACTTAAATCTCATCCCTTGCAAAAACTCAAATTGACTCATAATTGTCAATGTCAAACTTAAAGCTATAAAACCTTAGAAGAAAATATTAAAAATCTGTATAACTTAAAGTTAGATAAAGGGCTTAATCTATAAAAGGCAAAGATCATAATCTATAAGAGGAAAGGTCTTGAGATATCGTACATTATCAGAATTTAATCAACTTTATCGAAATACTTGCTCTGGTGGGAGGAAAATTTGCTAAGGAAATAAAAATAGGAGGGTAAGTCAACAAGTATTGCTAAAAAACCACACAAATCTTTATTAAACAAAAAGATCAAAATGTAAAGCTATTGTTTCTTGACATAGTGGACTACATACTTCTTAAGTTGTGTTTCCATCTCTTTATCCCCTGAGGACCATGGTGGCTTAGTGGGTTATGTGTTGGGCTGTTAACCACAAGGTCACCAGTTTGAAACTACCATTTGCTTCCCAAGAGAAAAATGAGGCCCTTCTACTCCTACAAATATTTAGAGACTAAGAAATCCATAAGGGCAGTTCTACTTTATCCTTATAGGGTAGGGTAGATATGAGTTGGAATCGACTGGATGGTAGTTGAGCTTGAATTTTAAACTCCGCCTGAAAAGGAGCCCACTGGGTTATGAGTTTGACTATTTTAACTATAGCGTCAGCAATTTGAATCCACCAGATGCTCCCGGGGAGGAAAATGAGGTTTTCTGCTACCTTAAAGATTTATAGCCTCAGAGACCCATAGGAGTAATTCTGCTCTGTTCTATAGGGTTAATATCAGTCGACAATGACTTGATGTCAATAAGTTCATGTGAGTAACCCCTTCCTGAAAAATTCAATACTCTGATTTAAACTGCAAAAAAATGACAATGTTTTTCATTGATTGGGATTAATACATATATTGAATCATATCATAGTTCAATCATGTCCAGCACAATTATACATTTGCTGACACAGTTTCCAAACTGTATTTTTCTATTTTGACCTCTTGACATCATCAATCCTTTCCCCCACCCCCACACCTTTGTGCCCCCCTTCCACCAAAATCCTTATTCCACTTGCTGACTCTATCGGTCCTAGTTTTCATATACCATATATACTCGAGTATAAGCCAACCCAAATATCAGCCGAGACACATAATTTTACCATAAAAAATGTGCTTAGAAACTCGGCTTATATATGAGTATATACAGTACCCCAAAATGAAAAAAACATTTACCACAGCTTCAAGAGGGTGACCCCCAATGATACAACACTCCTGAGGTACTTTCTAATATGTACAATAAAAAACCAAACAATACAATACAACCCCAAAATACATAAAATTTGGAAATCAGATCAGGTCCAGCATGCATCATAAGAGGAATCTGCTGGCAAGTTTTAACTGTGGAAGTCAGATTGTTATGCCTTTGACCTTCTGTACCCAACTCTCCAAAGCACTCCGTTTAGTAACCACTTTCCTCCTAGCCCTCAGCTGTGGATAGAGGGAGTTCACTGGAGGCTTATTTCCCAGGTAGTTCCACCAAGGTGTCCAGCTATCCGATAAAATACTGTTGGGGGTCTGAAAGACTTGTCTCTGAACAAGCAGCCATTTAAGTGAGATATCACATGGAAGAAGAACACTATCATCAGTCACCGAAGGATCGTAAAGCATATAACCCGAAGGCAAAGGGAGGGATGAGTATCTGAGCCAAAAATCTGAGAATCGTGTTTGCGGAAGTCTATGGATGACAATGTGAGCCCAAGATTCATTGGTGGAACTAAAAATGGCAATTTTGACATACTTTTCCTTCTCAAGAGCCTATGAGTTTGGAGAACATACAGACATTAGAAGGAGTAAGAAAATCTCTCAGCATTCCCCGTTTGGAGTCCCCAAACCAGTTGCCATAAATAACCCTTTAAGTTAGTTACCCTTTCTACCAGAGCCCTCAGAAGCTATTCTTTTCATGGGACCTTTCTCTCTAGGTTGTATGGGTAAATCCAAGACTCACCCCTGAATATGATTTATGCCATATAATATCATCTTCATTAGCTTTGGTCTTAAAAGACTGATGGAAAGATCAGCTAACCAAACTAAAACTGCTAAAATTTACTCTAATTAACTACTGACTGCAAAGACATGTTTCTTATTATAAACTTACGCATGCATGAACTTGAACCCTAGTAACAGTCTTGTTTTACTTACCCTTATACAAGTGATATGTGAGAAATATTTGCAAATCACTTATCAGAAGAAATACTTATATCCAAAATACATAAATAACTCTCAAAACTCAACAGGAAGGAAAAAGAAAACAAAATTTAAGAACAGACAAAGCTTTGAAAAAACACATTACTAAAGAATACACAAATGGCAAAAATACACAGGAAAACTGTTAAACACAGAGGAAATGCAAATAAAAACTGCAATGTGAAACTACTGCAAACCTACTAGAATGAATACTTTTTTCTAAAGGATAAAACCAAGTGCTAGCAAGGATGCAGAACAACTCTTACAACACACTGTTGCTGAGAATGCAAAGTGGAACCACTCCTATGGAAAGCAGCTAAATAGCTTCTTATAAAGTTGAACATACACTTACCATATGATCCAGCAATCCTATCCCTGGGTATTTACCCTACAGAAATGAAAATTTAGATTCAAATAAAAACCTGTACAAAAGTCTTCATAGTAGCTGTATTCATAATTACCAAAAACTAGAAACCACCCACTGGCCCTTCCATGGGTGAATGGAAAAATCTGTGATTTATTCATACAACGGAATATTACTCAACAATAAAAAAGAACTCTTGATATCTGCAACAGCTTGAATGAGTCTCACAAGTAATTATGTTGAGTAAAATACAGGTTACACACTGCATGATTCCATTCTGAAAACACTGCCAAAATGACAAAATTAAATTATGAACAGCATATCAGTGGTTGTCAATTATTAGAGGCGGGAGCAAGATTATAGCACAAGGAAGTTTTTGGATTCATTGTTCATTGAACTGCTCTGTATTCTCACTGTTGTAGTGTTCATGTGAATCTACACACATGGCTAAGATGCACAGAGCTGAGTTAAACAACTAACATTTATTGAACTCTTGGAACCGTTCTTTCTTATTTAATTTTTAAATTAAATTAGAAAATGCTGGATTAATAAAAGGAAAAAAGAGATGTTGGCTGGCTCAGGGTAACTTGTAACGCTAACATTTTCCCCCAAAGTAATTTACGTGAACTGAACAAAAACACTGTGAAATGCTCAAGTTTTAGAACAGCATAGGTCTCCCCCACCCAATCTCAATCTAATTTACATCCCTAAACTTTAAAAAAAAATTGGTGTTTTGTAGTATCATAAACACACTTTTTTCATGATGTGTCTCACCAAAAGTGTCTGGCTTGCACACAACAATTATTTAAAATGTCAATAACAGTCAGAAACCTAGATTTCCCAGCCAATTATTTAAAAATCTCCATAAAATTATAATCAGCAACAGCTAGCTTTTCCTTTGTACATTATGTACTTAGCTCCCTAATTAAAAAGCAGCAGGATCTGTATTGAAGTTATTTTTTCATTACACAAACATCACATTTGCAAGCAGACATCTAATATTTACTCCATTAATTTGTATTAAACATGGAATGAGCAGAATAGCTCATTAATTTACCACAAATATGAATCCTTTTTAGGATTTATCTTTTTATTTGAATTACCATGACAGACTTTTAACATGCTATGTACCCAAAATACTAACTCATTTAATTTCTAAACTGCTATACGCCTTCAAATTTCATTTCCTAAGGAAACACTAGATATTTAATCTCTAATTTACATAGGGATAAGTCAAATTTTTAATTGAGGTTTTGAATGTTACTATTTCAATATATTAAGACTAAAGATGTCTATTAGTGTAATAATATAGTTATAATAGTATAATATTCATTGCTGTATTCTATAATATATCCTTTCAAGTTAAGTCAAGTTTTACATAAGTCAAGCTAGACTTTCCCTATCAACAACCAGTAAAAATAAAATTTAAAATTATCTATAAAATTTACTGAAAAATGAACAAAACACCTAATCAAGGTAGTAATATTTTGTTGTTTGCGTCTAGGATCATAAGCAATAATGAGTTCACAGCCATTTTTAAAAATGAACTATTATGTGAAATTATCCTTTTCTTTACTTAAGCTCTGTGAACATTGTTAATATCCAACAGATACTTAGGAGAATTATTATATCTATCAAATAAATAATACAGGCAATATGTGAAAAAAAAGTTTATACAGAAATATACAAGTCCTAATGTCCTAAATTTTTATGAGCACCACAACCATTGGCTTCTCTGGCATCTAATATTTATTGTTAAATTCCATCACTCACATCACTCTTCAACAAGTTATTATGGGCACAAAAGTAGTTCAAATCATCAAGAAGCACTTTAAGCTACAAAGTCACAGTAAGGGTAAGTTACCTGTTAGATAATTCTTACAAGTTATAATAGTCACATCTGGACCATGTGTGCATATATTCACTAAATAAATAAGAATCCTTGAAAATACTGATTTAAATTAAACATGATGAGAGGGAAGGAATATAGCACTAGATTGTATTTACTTACACAAACAATTTTTAACTTAACCTCAAATAAAATCCAAATCATTCTTAACATGGAATAAGTTAAAAATACATATGACAAGAATCTATTAGAGTCTCAATATTATAAGAATAATGGACCCCTAAAATATTAGCAGAATTGGATACAGCTATGAAAAGTAGACACTTTTAAGCATAGTTGACACATATGGACAGAGTTATACATGGCAGTTATAATAGGGTTGCAATGATTATTAAGTGCATCTTAGAGAGAAATTCATTTAAAAGAAATATTAAAACCAAATTTAAAGTTAGCTCCATGCCTCAAACCTCAATATTTTATAATACAGAACTTTCAGTAAGCTCTTAAAAAATTACCTGCTTCTGTAGCCATCTTTCATGCCTTTGTTGTTTCCTTCTCAAATTCTTCAACTTGCTTCTTTCTCTCTTATTGAGCCTCTGGTTAATGGCGCCCAATGAAAAACTGGCTGAGCTCAAGAAGTCCAGAGGAGAGAGGTGCTCTTCCTGATCCGAAGCTTCCAGCATGCTCCTGCCAGCCGAGGGTAAGTCCATCAGGAAAGTCAGGCTGTTGGAACTAGCACGGTCAGAGGACACAGCAGACGCTTCTAGATGACACTGAAATTCTCCTCCTCTTTGTGTCTGAGTCTCATGGGGAGCCACTGACAATCTCTGCAGCAGCATATTAGGATCAAAACTGGATGGATTCTGAAAGGAACAGCTATTTTTACTACTCTCTAAAGACAAGCCAGAAAGGTCAATGGGCTGTGTTTCATTTAGCCTAGAATAGGCAGTTGTCCTCCTATGCATTTCACACAGAGTAGGAAATAAAGTCAGGTTCTCACTGATGTTCAGATCCAAACTATGTGATTTTCTATGAAAAGCTCTTGCTGTACATCTGCCAGTCACAAGCTGGGGAACAAAAAGCTGGTATTTTGGACCTGATGATTTAAAGAGCAGTTTTTCATTCTTCATCTCAAAATATGTTGATCTCACCTCCAGGCAGAGAGCTTCTGTTAGTCTTCCAGGGCCACTGTTATTTTGGGCCATGCTGAAAAGCCTGTGCTTCCTTTTTCTGGAGGCGCCACCAGTCAGCAGAGTTCCCCTGTCACCCGACTGCACTCTAGCATCTGACAAGTATCCCAGCGATACGCTCCTTAGTTTGTCTGCCTGTGTTGGCTGATCATCGGTCCCGCTCTTGGAAAGATGTACAGCTGCAAGCTGGCCACAGGAACATTTTGGAGTGTTGACAAAATCAAAGCCCCCTAACCGGGCCCCACAGAAAGGGCAATTCAGCTTTCCAACTGTCCACTGGGTCTACAGGTAAAAAGGAAAAAAAAGATAATGCTTTCATTGTAAAATAATCAAAGAAATATAAGGTTTTTTTATAAAGCTGACTGTTTGAAAGTTTTCTATCCCACAGAAAAAGACTAGCTTTCTGTTTTCTGATTAGTAGACAGAACAGCAAATGGGAGCAAGTCTACCAATAAATAAGAGATAAGAAAGTTCTGGAATGATAACATATTGCAAATCATGCCCATCCTAACAATACTCCTAAGAATTCTAAAAAGGAGTCTCTAAAACAATGGGCTGAATATAGATACAGTGTGAAGTAATGAAAAGAAAAATACACTATGGAACCAGGAAGCAAATCAGTCTACGGAGCTTAATTTGCAAGTAAAATCTCACAGAAAAGTGTCTGTTTTGATACACTTCTTGCATACCAAGCACTGTGGGAGGGAACTTTATCCAAGCAACAAACTAAAGCTCTTTTTGGCTTTTTATATACAACCAAAAGATCTTGGTTGCCGATACCAGATAGTGTCTTTTCTATACTCAGATAAGCTCAGACCTGAAAATAATGAAATGGCTTTAAATGATCTTTTCAACAGAGATAGAGGAACATCTGCAGTGTTCTAATGCAGTGTATGATGTGAAAGGCCGCTTCAGCAGTATATAGGCCTTTCCCCAGGAAATCATTACAATGGGAAAAGGGATGCAAGCTATATCAACCAAATGCGAATTTTAACTACAAAAGTATACTTCATGTTAAATCAGCAGAAAAATATAATTATACTTTTCCAAAAATCATATTACTTACCCTTTTCTAGTACTTAAATGTTTTGCATGATAAGAAATAGCAAAACACTACTTTCAAGGCAGGTTCTTGCTCTTGAAAAATTTCCTTAAGGATCCTTGAAAATATATACTCTACATGTACTTGCATATTGAGAAAAGAGGCAAGGCCTTCACAAGCTAGATAGACACCAGGGCTACAACAATGGGCTCAAGCATAAGAACAGCTGTGAAGACGGCATAGGACCAGGCGGTATTTCATTCTGCCATAACTCAAGTTACGATGAGTCAGAACAGACTCGTCGGCTCCTGGCAACATTATGTGTCAATATACAGTGTATATGAAGGGGCTTCAACTAGTTCATAGAAAAATCCCATTGTCTTTTAATTCTGTATTTCCACAAACTTTGTAAAGCCCTCTCATATATGAATGGTCAATATAAGATATTTGATTCACTTAGCAAGTGTTGTTTATAGGGATTAGGCATATAACACCCTTATTGGGTGTTAGACAAGTAACAAAATGACTTACACAAGGGGTTCCAAAAACTTGTAGAAAAATTCCATTATATTCCAATTCCATTATTCCATAAGCTTTTGAAGCCACCTCATAAATACCGTATATATTTGAGTATAAAGCCAACCTAAATATCAGCGGAGACACCTAATTTTATCACAAAAGCAGCATTAAAAATGTGCTGAAAAACTTGGCTTGTGTATATGGTATATATGCTATTTGGGTATGTATACTTTATATACTTGTATATAATAATGTATATTTTGTACAGGCATTTTTGTACACAATAATGTATATATGAAGGGGTACTCCCAACAAAGTAGATTTTTCCCCACGCTATGTATTTAATTTTTAAAAAAAAACAACCTTATCACCTTAAAAGACTCTCCATTACATTTAATACATTTTTCAGATCTTAAATTCCATTTTAGGAATTTTTTTTCAAATGCATCTGTTTGAATGGCTTGACAGCACCTCCCTCATTTTTTCTTCATCTTTTCTATATCAAATCATGTCCTTTCATGTCCCTCCTTCATTTCCGGAAACAAAAAGAAGTCAGAGGGAACTAGATCAAATGAGTAAGGTGTGTGGGGCAAGAGAAGCATGTTGGTTTTTTTGCCCAAAACTGGCGCACTGAGATAGCTGTGTAAGCAGGTGCATTGTCATGGTGGCAAAACCAGTTCTCTATCTGCCATAACTCAGGCTTTTTTGGTGCACATTGTTACACTGTCTTTTTAGAATCTAATAGAAAGCTTGATTAACAGCCCGACCTGGTAGAACAAATTCCAAATGCACTACGAGTGGACATTTTCGTCCGTTTGGGAAGTTGACAAATGTCCCGAACAGGCTTGTCATAAATCAACCTTTTTTACCTTTTTTGAAACGAGAAAACCACTTGTACATTTGAATTTTTCTCATAGCGTTGTCCTGGTATGTCCTGGTGTGTTCAACATCACAACAGTTTCTGTGGCATTTTTCATGAGCAGGAAACAAAATTTCACAGCCACACGTTGTTCTCTTAAATCAGTCATCGCAATAAATGAGGTTCGAGCGAAACTGCTTTCACAAAAAAATTCACTGTGACCAGAGAGAACCTTCCCAGGCAACACCACTGGGTGCACTAAGTCAGAGCAAGTTGCTGAGTACTCCCCTGGTGGGGAAAAATCCATACTATGAAAGCTCAGTTCGCAGAGTTTTTCTCCGTTTTATTCTTTTGTTACCCCTAGTATGTCATGTAAAATTACACATATGTATAAGTAGACAGACTATATTATAATAGGAGCCCTGGCAGTGTGGTTATTTTGCATTGGACTGCTAACTGCAAGGTTGTTATTCAAATCCACCAACCGCTCCACTGGAGAAAGATGAAGTTTTCTACTCCCATAAAGAGTTACAGTCTTGAAACCCACAGAAGCAATTCTACCCTGTCCTGTAGAGTTGCCATGAGTTGGAATTGACTTAACGACAATAAACATATATTATAGTGTGTGTGTGTGTGTGTGTGTGTGTGTGTGTGTGTACAGATACCTATATAAAGCCAAGAGAAAGAAAATGTGGATAAATGGGTGATGGGGAGAAATATTTGATAGGTTGGCTACTGAATGCCTCACTGAAAGAAAAACTCAAAAAAACAAACAAAACCAAAACACTGTCGTTGAGTCAATTTTGACTCACAGAAACCAATAGAATAGAGCAAAACTGTCCCTTTGGGTTTCCAAGGCTGTAAAAACCTTGAGACTCAAAAACCTCACCTTTCTGCCTTGGTGAAACTGGTATTAGAAATGCTAACTTTGCAGTTCAATGCATAGCCTACCATGAAGGAGCAAGCCCAGTGATTGCAGTAGGAAGCGTATCCCGTAAAGAGGATACACTTCAGTGCTACGTCTGAAGTGTAAAGTACCTGAAGTATTGCAGTCATTTTGAAGAAGCCAGCAGTTTAATCAAGACATACATGCCCTTCCCTGTCTCTTAAATTAATCGATCCAAGAAAAACAGCTCTAAAAATTAAGGACAAAATACAATGAAGACTGCAGTTTCTTATTTTACTTACTTTTTGTATTAGGCAGTTTATCCATTCTGGAAGGGTTTCTATATTCATGTGCCATACATGACAAATCCTTTGAGCATCAGTTGAATCAACTCTATCCTGTTACATAAAAATGCATATTATTAATTACCAGCTCAAAATTTATTCCACAAATCTTATATTCTAGAAATGCACAAATATACAAACTCAATTTTACAATGAAATGCACACTCAACTGCCCTCTTTAGTCCAGCTAACACCAAAAGCAAATTCATATACAACTCAATTTTTTCTTTTGCATCGAATAATATTTAGGATTATAAAAAATAAAATTTCTTAAAATGAAGCTCAAAAATTGGAATTGTGTTCCTTCCTGCCCTTCTCCCCCCCACCACAAGTTGTATCAGAAATAAAAGCGGGTTATATTCATGTATTCATGACTGCTTCTCCTTGTCTTCAATATATAATTCTAGATGAGTTCTCCTAATGACTGAGGAACAAAGTTCCTATATTTTTTATCAATTTGCTCAAGGAAAGCACAGAAGGCAAAGATAGTTGTGTGGACAGTTGGAAAAGCCCTTATGAGATGAAGCAAAAGTATTGCTTTCCAACATATCAGAGACATATGGGATAGGACAGGGTTGAGCTGCATGGATCTTTACTACTGTATGATATTTGACCGGCCACTATACTACCCTGTCTCAGTTTTTTCACCTGTAAAAACCCTGCTAGGTAACTGTTGTAAGGTTATTCCTGGGTCTAGAGGATTTAATTCTATTAAAATTAGGAAAGGTTTGGTAGACAGGGCTGGAAGAAAAGTAAGGCTCCTGCCTACATACCTTTTGCCAGAATCAGATTTCACACTACAGTAAGGTCTGCAAGTTAACAAAGCAGAGTGCTTTTAGATTTCCATTGAAATGCACTATAAAGTCCTACAATCAGGTTAAAATGTAACAAACAGGCAAATTAATATCTTGATCTCAAAATCTTCATTGACAGTGACAGAACTGAAGGAGAGCAGGATCTCTGCAAGGATGCTTCACTGAATCATCTTCTTTAGGTTGTGACTTGGAGTCAGAGCCACCCAGCATTTCTAAGATTAATTTCTCAAACTCATCCTTCCTGGTACCTACACCATTGTTCTCTTCCAACAAAAGGATCTTTTTTAAGATACTAAAGTGTGGCCAGGTGCAGATTTAAAAAAGTCCCAGTGTGACTTATGTACATATTGGAAAGATGTAAAAAGAAATAATCTCAATCTAATTTCCTTTTAGCACCCCCAAAGCAATAGATAAAATGCATTAAGGGGTTAAAGAAAACCTAGAGATATTATCATCTGCTAGATAGCATTTTGGCAATATCACCAACCGAAACAAGGCCAGGAGCTGACTGTAAATTCAGGTTCAAGTTGAAGAAAATGAAAACACATCCATGCGAGCCAAAATAATCTTGCGTATATACCACTTAATTTTCCAGAACATCTCTAAAGCAGATTTGAATGACGGAAAACCAGAATAGGTAATGAGATAGCATGAAGAACACCATACACAGAAAAAGGAAAAGATCATTAAAAAGAAAAGAAAGGGAAAAAAA